ATTCAAGATCATATTTTGGCTCTCATGGACTTGTTTTCATTTTCTTCAGTTTCAGTTTGAATTTGCATATGAGTAATTGATGGTCTGTTCTACAGTCTAGTCTGCCCCTGGCCTTGTTTTGACTGATGATATGGAACTTTTCCACCGTCTGTTTCCACAGGTATAGTCAATTTGATTTCTGTGTATTCCATCTGGTAAGATCCATGTGTATAATTGTCTCTTATGCTGTCTAAAGAGAGCATTGAACTGATATTTAAAATGAACAAATCATTGGTTTTGCAGAATTCTATCATGTGTTCTCCAGCATCATTTCTATCACCAAGGCCATATTATCCAACTACTGATCCTTCCTCTTTGCTCCCAACCTTTGCATTCCAATCACCAGTAATGATCAATATATCTTGATTGCATGTTTGATCGATTTCAAATTGCAGAAGTTGGTAGAATTCTTCTATTTCATCCTCACTGGCTTTAGTGGTTGATGCGTAAATTTGAATAATAGTGGTATTAACTGGTCTTCCCTGAAGGCACATGGATATTATCCTATCGCAGACAGCGTTGTACCTCATGACTAATCTGGCTATGTTATGCAACACCATTCCTCTTCAATTTGTCGTTTTCGGCATAGTACATCATGTGGTTATCGGATTCAAAATGGCCAATACCAGTCCATTTCAGCTCACTAATGCCTAGATATCGATGTTTATGCGTTCCATTCCATTTTGACAACTTCCAATTTTCCCAGATTCATTCTTCATACATTCCATGCTCTGGTTTTCAATGGATGGTTACAGCTGTCTGTCTTCATTTTGAGTTGTGCCCCATCAGCAAATGAAGGTCACGCGGGCTTTTCTCCCATGAGCTTTACTCCATTTTGTGTCATCACGGTCAACTCTACTTTGAGGAGGCAGGTCTTCCCCAGTTGCATTTTGAGTGCCTTCCAACCTGAGGGGCACATTTTCCAGCATTATATCTGACAGTGTTTCTCTGCTATTCATAAGGTTTTCAGTTACTAAATATTCTAAAGTATTTTGTCACTCTTTCTTCCTAGTCTTTCATCATCTGGAAGCGCATCTGGAACCTGTCCACCATGGGTGACCCTACTGGTATTTAAAATACCGGTGGCATAGCTTTCAGAATCACAGCAACTCAGAGGCCACCACAGTATGACAAACTGATAGTCGAGTGGTGGCCGTTTGGTTTTAAGTGGAAACTGTCACTTTAAATTTTGAGGAGATCTTTACGGATGCTTTGTAGAACCCTCCAGGGGTTGGGTTGGGGTGTCCATTCGCCCAGGCATACCGTCTAGTCACCAGAACGGAGGTGCGCAGACAGCGAGAGACCAGTGAACCGATAGCAAGCAAAGAATGTCCACACCTGTATGTCTGCGGTTCTGTGTGGCATTCGTGGCTGTTCTGATCCTTCCCCCACTTGGTCTCTCCCAAGATGGTGCCTCCGGGAGCAGCTGAGCATCTTGAATTAGAAAGCAATGGATTTCTTGATTCTGCTACAAATTCCCCTAGCTGTGAACCTTCCAACCTTCTAAATATTCCTTTATGTGTGGTTCAGAGTTCTAGCACCATCCCCTGAGCCTGCTTGGTCCAGTATTCTGTGTTGTTGTTGACAGAGCTCCTCACTGCACATCTATCCGATCTGCCATCTTGTGTTTTGTGTTTCTTGGTGGTAGCCTGCTCTTGTAAAAGGGGATGCAGTCTATACCCCAGAGAAAGTCCGCTTACATTTCAGCTAATTATTTTTCAGCTAATAGTTGGATGAAATTCCAGAACCAAAGCACAGCCATCCAGTAGGTTCCAACTCATAATAACCAATAGGACAAGGGGTTTTTTTTTCTGCCAAAATTTATAATATTCACGGGCCAGACAAAATTACCAACTTCAAATTTAGCCATGTTATATTTGGTATTACACTTAATTAAGTCACCCCTACTGTGGTAGAGTCCTGGTGTGGCGCTGTGGGTTAATGCGCCAGATTGCAAAACTGCTCCTCAGAAACTCCATACAGGGTCACTATGGGTCAGAACCAACTCCACAGCACTTCACAACAACAACTATGATGGCTGGAACTGTGGTTGCCTTGGCAGTGCCTGAACCAAATGATTTCACAGACTGTCTATATAGCACTTACCAATAGCATATGGCTTGAGGGCTGGGTGTCCCTCACTCCTGCTATAGAACACAGTAGAACTGGTCCCTAGGGGTTTCCAAGACTGTAAATCTTTACAGGAACAGACACCCCTATCTTTCTCCCTTGGAGTGGCTGCTGGGTTCGAACTGCTGACCTTTCAGTTAGCAGCCCAACCAACTAGTCACCTATTATGCCTCCACCAGGGCTCCTATGAGCAAGGTGGGCCAATTGGAGGGACATCTAGAAGTGAGAAGTGTCAGGACTTGATTGTAGAGCAGTAGGAGGCAGGAGGTGACACCTCTACTGAGGGAGCACACCACACAGGACCCGGTTTTGTGGCGAGGACTCAGGTGACTTGGCTGGAACATCCAGGCACAGGTGGTGTGAAGGGGTTGGTGGGCAGTGGTGAGGGAGGCGCCTGAGGCCCAGCTTTTCATGCTTCACCAGCAAGTGCCTCCTGAGTCTTTACTGTGTGCCCTTCCTTGGTGACTTAAGGAAGGGACAGTGACCTAAAGGTCATGGATAGTTGTTAACAGGATGTTTGTTGGAAGGTGACAAGTAAGTACAAGGTGGGGGACAAGGGAAGGTTGAAGTTTTCAGTAGAATGTTGCATGAAAAGCATGTTGAAGCCAACGTCAGAAGGATGCCAGGGAAGCAAAAACCCATCTCATTGACTGGCTGGCTTGGGTTGACCCCAGTAGGGGTTTCAGTGACTGATTTCTCAGAAGCAAATGGTCAGGTCTTTCTTCTGGGGATACTTGAACCCATAACCTTCAGCAGCTGAGTCGGTAGTTGTATATTCCTCTGCTCTCTGACAGTCTGGGGAGAGAGCAGCCCAAACTGAGTTTGTTCAAGAGAAAACTAAGCGTCCAGGACAGATGGTGCAGGGCCTGGCTGGCTGTGGTCAGGAGGTGGGAGCAGAGGAGGGCCATGCCCTGACTTGGGTGCACCCAGGCACCAGGGGGGTCGAGGCTGGAAGACAAGGCTGGAGGTGGGTACAGACCTTTCCTGGGCTTTCCTGCCCACAGGCCCGGGTGGAGCGCATGGAGCAGTTCCAAAAGGAGAAGGAGGACTTGGACCGGGGCTGCCGTGAGTGTAAGCGCAAGGTGGCTGAGTGTCAGAGGAAGCTGAAGGAGCTGGAGGTGGCCGAGGCCGTGGGCACCCAGGTGGAGCTAGAACGGTTGCAGACTGAGGTGCAGCAGCTGCGCAAGGAGGAAAGGAGCTGGGAGCAGAAGCTGGAGGAAATGCGCAAGAAGGAGAAGAGCATGCCCTGGAACGTGGACACACTCAGCAAGGACGGTTTCAGCAAGGTGTGTGGTGGCGGGGAGGTTGGGGGGACAGGAGGTAGGGGGAGGGCCAGGGGCAGGGGCCAGACAGATGAAGCACCCCATCGGCCCTCCCCTTTGATCTGCCCGAAGGCCCTAGTCCGAGGCCACACCTGCCACACTCACGCTCCCGCCTCCTTGATGCTTCTGGCACCTTCACCGCCTTGGCCGCTGACAGGATGGGCGCTGCGGCCAAGGCCAGGCCGGCTGTGCTCAGGGCACTTCGCGGTGGCGGCGGCGGCGAGGCCCCAGCCCACTCCCCCTCTCACCCCACCACAGAGCATGGTCAACACCAAGCCTGAGCAGGCGGAAGAGGACTCGGAGGAGGTGCGGGAGCAGAAACACAAAACCTTTGTGGAAAAGTACGAGAAACAAATCAAGCACTTTGGTGAGTTGGGCACAGGGGCTCCTGATTGGGGGGGGGGGGGGGGGGGGGGTGAGGGAAAGAGTGGGGCCCTTCCAGCACCTGCTTAATGCTTTCCTGCAGGCATGCTCCACCGCTGGGACGATAGCCAGAAGTACCTGTCAGACAATGCCCACCTGGTGTGTGAGGAGACAGCCAACTACCTGGTCATCTGGTGCATTGACCTAGAGGTAGAGGAGGTGAGTGGAGCATGTCCTGGGATGGGGATCGGCCTCACCCTGAGGCACCCCCTGGGTGACAGCGTGCCTGCCCTCCCCTCGGCAGAAGTGCGCGCTCATGGGGCAGGTGGCCCACCAGACCATCGTCATGCAATTCATCCTGGAGCTGGCCAAGAGCCTGAAGGTGGACCCCCGCGCCTGCTTCCGGCAGTTCTTCACGAAGATCAAGGTAGGGGCTCTAAGCAGCGTAGGGTACTGGCTGGCTGCAGGCTCCCTCCTCCAGGAGCCAGCCAACAGAGCATGGGGTCAGAGGCTGAGATGTGGCAGTGGGCCGCAGACTGTCTGCGCCGACGCTGCTGATGGGGCACCAGTGGCAAGGGAAGGGCAGGGTCAGGGTACTACCAACTCTTGACTTGAACACCTGCAGGAACAGGCTCCCTGACTCAGGAGGCCCCTGTGGGGTTGGTCATTGGGGGAAGGTGGCCAAGCCAAGGGTGGACAGAGGTGAGGACAGCCTGGGCCCTGGGTGTTCCACCCTTTAGTTCTGGGCCAGACTCAGGGGAGCCCACTGACTGCCCCCCACAGACAGCCGACCGCCAGTACATGGAGGGCTTCAATGATGAGCTGGAGGCCTTCAAGGAGCGGGTGCGGGGCCGTGCCAAGCTGCGGATCGAGAAGGCCATGAAGGAGTATGAGGAGGAGGAGCGCAAGAAGAGGCTTGGCCCTGGCGGCCTGGATCCTGTCGAGGTCTACGAGTCCCTCCCTGAGGTACGCTCCCCGGTCCCAGGCAGGTAGCAGATACAGCCCTGGATCACCAGGACCTGATTCTGACTCCTCTGCACCCCCAGGAGCTACAGAAATGCTTTGATGCAAAGGACGTGCAAATGCTACAAGATGCCATCAGCAAGATGGACCCCACCGTGAGTCATTGCGCCCCAGGCCCACCCTCTTGCTACCACCTCCAGCAGGCTGGGAAAATCACACCCACATACACACCCACCGGCTTCTCAGAGCAGTAAGGGGACTGGGCCACCATGTGTCCAGCACAGGGGACAGGCAGTCCTTCACGTGTTCACAGTTATCAAGCACCTATTGGGTGCCAGCTGGGTGCTTGTACCACAGTGCATGCGAGTACAGCACATGTGTCTGGCAATTATCCCTGTCATCACAGGCCATTTGTGGGCACAGCCCCCGGTGGCACGCAGGCTCCTTCCCAGTGCCTGTTTCTTTATCCAAACCGGTTTCTCTCTGGGAATTAGCTGGCACGATGCACGGGAGAGCTGAGCACACCGTTGTTGTTAAGTGCCATCGAGTCAATTCCGACCCAAAGCAACCCTGTATAGGGTTTCCAAGGAGCAGCTAGTGAGCTTGAACCACCGACCTTGCAGTTCAAACGACTTTGCAGTCTGATGCATTAACCCACAGTGCCATACCAGGAGCACACAGTAGCTGGTGTTAAACACTGACTGTTTTCATGAGAACAGTAGTCCAGCTGTTGGAGTCCTTGGGGGTGGGGGTGTAAATGGTTAATGCACTCACGGAAACTTGGACATTTGAGGCCACCGGAAGGCTCCTGAGAAGAAGGGTCTGGCAGCTGGCTGCTATAAAGAGTCAGTCACGTGGGGTCACTGTTGGTGGGGGTCCACTTGATGACAGCTGTTTGGCATTTTAGTAGAGCTAGTACAACAAGAAAGGCTGCTCTGTAGTGATTATGAGTTGGGCTGTTAACCTCAAGGTCAGCAGTTCAAAACTTACCAGTCATTACACAGGAGAAAGATGAGGCTTTCTGCTCCCGTAAAGATTTGCAGCCTCAGAAACCCTATGCCAGGGTCACTGTAAGTTGGAACTGACTCCATGGATTATAACCACCACCAGCAGCACAGCAGGCAGGAGCCTGGTACCATGGTGGGTTGTGCACTGATTGGGCTGCTAACGGCAAGGTCAGCAGTTTGAGTCCATCAGCCACTCCGTGGGAGAAAGACAGGCGTTTTGCTCCCGTAAAGATTTACAGCCTTGAGTCACTATGAGTCCGAACCAACTTGTCAGAACACAGCAGCATCAAGGTAACAAGGCTTTAGAGCAGGCGTGGGAAAGGTCCAGCCCATAGGCCGTATGTTGTTGTTGGTAAGTGCTGTCCAGTTGGCTCTGACCCATAGTGACCCTGTATAGAGTTTCCGAGGAGCAGCTGGTGAGCTTGAAACCACCGACCTTGCAGTTCAAACAGCTTTGCCATAAGGCCCTCGAAATCATTTGCTTTTGACTCTTACCAAGGCCACCGCAGTTCCAGCCATCACATTAAGGGAGAATTCATTACATGTGTGACCAGATACAGCAGACTCATTTTCAAGTAGATAATTCTATATGGTCCATGAATGGTGTTGCAAATTTTAGCAGGAAAAAGGTTCCCCACCCCTGCTTTAAAGGCTTAGTAGACCCCATTTTTTTGTTACTTGGCTTGATGAGTGCTGGCAGTGGTTTCGTTATCTGTAAAGTGGGTCTGCTTACTGGATTTCTAGGACTTTCCATGGGAGTAGATGTCTAAACTAGGGACTAGCAAATGGCAACCCACAGGCCCGCTGCCTCCTCCAAAGAAGCTTTATTGGCGTACGGCCCCATTTATTTGCTTTTGTGTCATCGGCAACTATTTTGCCTACTCCAGTTGAGTCCTGGTGTGGTACTGTAGGATCAGCACTGGACTGCTAACCTCAACGTCGATTCCAAGGCACTTGACAACAACAGGAAGAGAATGGAGGAGTTACGGGTTGAGGAGCTGTGACAAACGCTGTCATTGAGGGGGCTTCCAAACGTGCATGGGAAAATTCCATGACCTTTTAATTCTGTTTTTTTAAGCACTTTTTGAAAACCCCCTTATCTGGCCCACAAAGTCTAAATATTTACTGTCTGGCTCTTAAAGATCTGAACTTGTGTTCCTCAGCCACATGCCACATTTCAAAGTGCTCAGTCGCCACTTGTGATTTGTGGTTGTGTTGGGCAGCGCAGATTCTAGAACGTTTCCACCATGGTACAGCTGGAGTCTAGAAGGCGCATGAGTGGGCTTCAGGGTCCTCGGAGCCCAGGGAACTCAGGGCCCACTTCATGCACTGCCCTTCTCCCCACAGGATGCAAAGTACCACATGCAACGCTGCATCGACTCTGGCCTCTGGGTCCCCAACTCCAAGTCCAGTGAAGCCAAGGAGAAGGAGGAGGCAGGGCCTGAGGACCCCTTGCTGGAAGCTGCCCCAAAACCAGACGATGAGAAGGATGTCAGTGCGTGACCTACGCTAGCCACTGCCCGCCTGCCTGCAGGCCCCCGCACTCCCCTTTTCAGAAAACAAAAATAGACACCAGCTCCCCAGCTCCTGGCTTCCTCCACTTCTGCAGCCCCCCAAACCCGGGACTGGCCAGGAGAGGAAGGGGGCCAGCCCTCCCCCCCTCCTCTGCCCCTACCCCCCCCAGCGCTCATTCAAGTCTCTGCTTTGAGTCAAGGGGCTTCACTGCCTGCAGCCCCCGCCCCCATCAGCATTATGCCAAAGGCCCTGGGGTCCAGGGAGAGGCAGGGTCGCCAGGTTGCCCGTGGGTGGAGGGGAGGGTCCCATTGAGGGGGCTGCTCCAGTCACTGTGGGCTCCGTTCACTGTTGGTCTGCTGTCAAGTCTTTCTGTTTGGTAAACAGCGATGATCTTCAAATAAAGGATTTCAGATGCTGTCAGGGCTGTGGTGAGGTCTGGGCAAATGGAGGGTGGGGGCTGGGCCTGTGGGCAAGCAGACCGGGGGTGAGGGGGGCGCACCTGCCTCTCTCAGGCTCCGGCATGTACTAGTCCCCTGCCTGGAACCATCTTCCTCCTGATGCCTTCTGTTCAGTCCCAACTTTCAGTTCTCATTCCTCTAGAAATTTCCTATACAAGCCCTCTCTCCTCAGCCCCTTTGCTTGTCCTGTGCCCTGAAACCCTTGTATACCTCATCTGTCATGTGCTCAGGCCGTGGGCATGGCTCAGCTCAGCAGCCTCAACTCCAGGTCTCACCTCCCACGTGAACACTTGGCTTCCAAAACACATTGAACTGTCTCAAAACACATCTCTCCCCCCTGGCTTCGTTCCCATCCATTCTGATCCCCACCGGACAGCAGCCAGAGAGCACCTGTCTGTCATGACAGGGCCTGGCCTTGCTCATCCCAGGACCCACATTCTGAGCAGAAGTTCTCCAGGCAGTTGACGAGGCCCTTCACCTCTCCCACCCCTCCCCGCCCTCTACCTCATTTCAGCTACCAGACCCTTTATTTCTGTCATCTGTATACTGAAGGTAACACTACTAATGTCTCGGATGAGAGCAAAGTAGGGGAATGAACACATGGAAACGTGCCCAGCACACCAGTGTTCAGTGAACTCATGTAAACGCCCAGCACACCAATGTTAACGCAGACCTTGGTGCTTGTGCTGGCCCTTCCCTACCAGCCTCCAGTGAGATTCCTCAAAAAGTGATGTACTTGATTTTTGACAAGATGGCGGACTAGGCAGATACACTACACAGACTCTCTAAAGCAAAAATGTTAAGTACTGTGGAATTGGTTACCACTCACACCGACCCTGCACAGGGTTTCCAAGGCTGCAAATCTTTACGGGAGTAGAAAGCCTCATCTTTTCCCCCACGGAACAGCTGGTAGTTTCAAACTGCCAACCTTGAAGTTCGCAGCCCGATTTATAACCACTGTGCTACCAGAGCTCCTTTATAACAAAAATTGTT